AGATTTATATATGTTTGTTTTCCTCTTCAAGCATATTATTTCAATCAACATAGTTGGGGGTCCTTATTTCAATTTTGGCATGAACTAAATTCGAAATTTTACGTTTTATAACACTTTCTACTAGCGTAAAGATCACGCATATTACTCTCCATCACAAGGATAAGGCCAATCAGCATGAATTTAACTTTCTTCATTTTTGTAAGAATTAAATTCGAAGATGACATCTAAACTTTGTTTATTCGTCTTTCTAGTTGCGCAAATATCCCATATAAGAATGTACCAAAAATAAAAAATAAAAAATGGAGAGTAATCAGCTGATTGCGGCCCAATGGTTCCGAACCAAGTGTGAGTCCAAGCTTCAGTTCCGAACCATGTTTAGGATATCATGCCTCAATATGTCACAGCATATATACCAACAGAAATTTGGAAGAGGCTATGCAGTATTATATATACTATAGCTACTGCATCAAAGGCCAAAACGTGTATCTCCAAAGCGAATAAATCTTTGGTGCTATGTAGCATCAAGATTCAGTGCATTCCACTAATAGGAGCATTACACATCAGAGGAGAGAGAAAAAATTTGACAGAGAAAAAAGAACTTTTGCTGACATGTAATATTTCTATTGGTGGGATGTACTGAATCTTTGGTGCTACAGTAGCACCAAAGATTTATTCGTCCAAAGCCTCTTGTAATGATGACTTATGTATCACGGATACGACACGCGACACGTGACACGACACGACACGACATGACACGACACTCTGACACGTCAATCCTAAAAAGTTATGGATTTTGACACGTTGGGATACGTTTTAATATTAAATAATATTTTTAATTTATATAGTGTATATTTCATTTAATATTTAATAATTTAACAAAAAAATGAAACTAAATTAATAATACACATCAACACGTTATAAAGATGGAAGCTTTAATAAAAAAAATAAGAATTGGGATGAGAGAGATATAATATCAGATAGAGAGATCAAATCATATTAGAGAGAGATCAGAGAGAAGGAGATACAACAAGAGCGTAATAGGAATTGACAACAATGATGTTGAGATGATCTCTTATCTTCTTAAGGAGAAAAAAGACAAAAAAATAAAATGGATATGATCAGGTGGAAACTTTATTAATATATTTTAATTTTTTTAAAAAAAAATTTAAAAAAAATTTACGAAAATGTCATTTGACCGTGTCGGATACGATCAAATTCGCGTGTCGGACACGACTCTCCCTGTTTTTACAAGTGTCCGTGCTTCCTTGATGACGACATTACTAAAATTAGGATTAAAGTACCGTTGAAAGTAATTAGTCAAATCCCAAGATCTAGTGTCCTTCACAACAAATTGACTAAGACTTTGTTTTGGAGTTTGAAAGGGAAGAAAAGGAAGAGGATCTAAGGGAAAGGGAGGAGAAGGAAGCGAAGGAGATTGAAGAGTATTTTTTTCCCTTATTTGGGAGTTAAAAAATGGTAAGAGAGAAAAATAGAGGAATAATGAAATATTTTTACAATTTTAACCTTTTTTAAAAATTAATATAATTATGATATTTTACAAATGAAACAAAATTTAAAATTTCTAACAAAATTATTTATATACTTTTCATACTACTAAAAAATATCATATTTTTAACGAAATTTCTACGTTGCAAATGGTAAAATTCTATCGAAAAAGTAGTTTCCCGTCAAAATACTTTTCGTTGAAAGTCGACAAAATCTTTTATCTGTCAATATTTTTTTATAGAAATAAATTTTCTATCAAAAGTTATAATGGAATTTAGTTTCCATCAAAAGTTTTGACAAAAATAATTTCTTAAATATTTTTTATGAAAAAAAATCCGTAAAACGAAATATTTTCCCTCCAAAATTTTCGATGGGATGTTCTGACAAAAATTTTGACAAAATTTTTTTTGTCAAAATTTTTGAAAGAAATGTTTCTGTCGAAACTTTCAATGAAATTTAGGTTTCGTAAAGAATTTTGATAGAATATTTATGCTGTCAAAATTTTTTACATAAATGTTTTTCGTCAAAAACTTTTATGAAAATAATTTTTGTCAAAAAATTTCGATGGAAATGTTTTCCGTTGAAATTTTGATGGAAATTTTTTTGTCGAAATTTTTTTATGGAAATATGTTATGTCAAATTTTTTGATGGATTTTAAATTTTGTAAAGAATTTTGACGAAAATTATTTTCCTTCAATTTTTTTACCGAAATATTTTTCATCTAAATTTCTTATGGAAATATTTTCCGTAAAACTTTTTTGATAGAATGTGTTATGTTGAAAATTTTAATGGAAATATTTTTCATTAAATTTTTTGACAAATATGTTTTTTTGTCAAAAATTTTGAGGAAAATAATTTGAGAGAATTTTGATTCCATAAAGAATTTTGACAAAAAAAAATTGTTGGAACTTTTTACAGAAATATTTTTTGTCAAATTTTTTTACGTAAATATTTTTGACCAAAATTTTCATTGTAAATGTGTCCCATTGGAAATTTTGTCGAAAATATTTTTCATAAAAAAGTTTGACGAAACTATTTTCTGTTGAAATTTTTTTATGGAAATATTTTTTGTCAAAATTTTTGACAGAATCATTTTTCGTTGAAAAGTTTGACAAAAATATTTCTGTCAAAAGTTTCGATGGAATTTAGATTCTTTCAAGAATTTTGACTGAATTTTTTTTTCCTCAATAATTTATGTTAGTGATTTTGACAAAATCTTATTCCGTCTCTAGTTTTGACGGAAAAATTTTTCGTCTCTATTTTTGAAGTAATATGTTTTTTGTCAAATATTTCGTCATTATTTTTGTTGAATTTTTTTTCGTCAATAAATTCTATCGGTATTTGAGACTTTTCTAATAGTTTCACATTTAAAAATGATTCACCTTTATGTAATTTTACATTTTAATGTTAAGGGTAATTAAATAAATTTTAATACTTCTCCGTCAAACCCTCCAAATTAGGAAAAAACTTTTAGTGACACCGTAGTCCCCACAGCTCCATACCACTTCCATTTGGAATATAACACGTGTATTAGTATTTCAAGTCACTTATCCTAATTGGCATTATAAATTCTATTTTTTTATTAATTTTTAGTACCACTAGAATTTTGATTTCCCTCCAAGGCTGTCTTTTCACTCCCACCTATGTTATGCTTTTTCGATTAAATTGATGACAGTAGAAGAAAGTTCTTTCTTCGAAAAAAGTGAAGGAAAACAACATGTTACGTTCGTAAGAAAATAAATGAGACAGACGAAAAGGCAAGAAGGTTGCATTTCATAAAAACGTCTTTTTTCCTCTTGAGGAAAAACACAGAGGAAAAGGTTCAAGAAGATTTGGACATAAAAGAAAAGGCTGCATTTAGAAATATTGGAAAAGAGGTAACTTCCCACTCTGTGCTAATAGTTTGTTTTTTTGTTTTCATTCATATGTCGTTTGGATACATAGAAATTCATTGAATGAAGGAAAGTTTTATGCTTCTTGATATATATATATATATATATATATATATATATATATATATATATATAATGAGACAGGATCTTTTGACACCGGTGTCAAAAAAAAAGTTTGACACCTCATCTGAGAGCAGTTAGATTAAAAAATCAACGATTCTGATTTGTAAGCATGTGACACCATTGATTTTTCTTAATCTAACGGCTCTAAGATGAGGTGTCAAACTTTTCCTTTGACACCGGTGTCAAAGGATCCTGCCTCTATATATATATATATATATTATATATAAGTATTCTTGATTTATGCTTCTTCAGTGCATTCCTCTTACATGCCAGAGTTTGGGACTTTATGTTTTCAGAAAAAAAAAAAAACTTTTGGTTTTTATCTTTCGTGTGTGTGTATATATATATGGGATAAGTTATTCTACCTACTCCCTTCTTGCCTACCTTTTGTCTACCCCTTTCATCACCGTTGGATTACAATCTAATCCAACAGTCCATAATTGCAAAATAAAATATCCTTTTTTTCCTTTCTCTCTCCTCACTTTCTCCCACACCCTTTCTCTCTCCTCCCCTTTCTCTCTTCCTCTACGATCTCGACACATCCTTTTGATCTCTCGATACCTTTTTTTTTCCTTTATCTCTGATCTCCGCTGAGGTGAACACGCGGAAGCATTATGCGATTCATCGACCACAACATTTGAAATCATCGTTCTTATACGGTTTATTTTTTTTATTTTTTATTTTAACCTTCTTTTTAAAAGGCGATTCTTGATTCGTGAAGAAAAAGAAGAGATTTTTCTAGACTACCAGATTACAACAGACTGTACAATTGTAGAATTGATAATCTACAATATTTGGGTTCCTTCATTATTCATGTAAGTAGGAAGGTGCAAAATCACTTTTCATTCTTTGCCATCAAAAGCTTGAGTTCTATGCACGCAGCCATAGAATCTCGTAAACCAAAATAAGCTATGTGCTTTGTTTGCATCCACAAGTGCAATTCTCAAGTTCATTGTGAAGCTTCTGAAAGAGGGCGAAAATAAACCTGATAAGGACGATGATTTAGGATGTGTCCGGATCGCAGAGGAAGAGAGAAAGGGGAGGAGAGAGAAAAGGTGTGGGAGGAAGTAAGAAAAGAGAAAGGGAAAAAAAGAATTATTTTATTTCGCAATTATGGACCGTTAGATTAGATTGTAATCCAACGGTGATGAAATGGGTAGGCAAAAGGTAGAAAAGAAGGGAGTAGGTAGAATAACCTATCCCTATATATATATATATATATATATATATATATATATATATATATATGCTTGATTTCAACTTCTTCCTACAAGTTCAAAAATCAAATCTCCTAACACAGATGCAAAAAGATGAATCGGCCTGTTTGCACGGATGAATTCGTAAAGCTCCTAACACCCATGGAACCACCCACGTTTAAAAATATTCCTTTGAACTTTTTTTCTATTGGAGGTGCTTTTGTGTGATATCTAACCATCACTCTTGTCTTCTTTTTTTGTGTTGAAATATTTATATAGAGAAATGGGTACTTCAAAAAGTGAAACGAGTAATTTTATTTACTCAGAATCGTCTTCTTTTAGTGAGATGGGCACTTCAGAGAGTGACTTTGATAACGAAGAAACAAAGATGCCAGTAATTGTGAATAAGGAACAAGATGGATATCAACCAAAAGTTGGAATGATATTTTCAAATGAAGATGAAGCTTATGATTTTTATAATAAATATGCTAAATTTGTTGGCTTTACTGTGAGAAAATCACATTATCGTAGATTGACAGATGAAACCATAAGCCAAAAGACATTTGTTTGTGGAAGAGAAGGGTATAGAAGGTTGAACAACCCTTCACATGCGAAGAAGATAAATAGGAGAGAAACAAGAACGAGTTGTCAAGCTATGATATGTTTCAAAATTGAGAAGGATGCTTGGGTTGTTTCTAAATTCATTCCAAATCATAATCATGATCTTGTGAAATCATGTGCAAGAGCTATGTTAAGATCACACATGCATGTAAGTGAAGCATATGCTAATATGCTTGAAGATATGGACAATGCTGGTGTAAAACCATGTAGTGTGTATTCATATTTTGTTGAGGCTGCTAGAGGAGTGGAAAATGTTGGATTTTGAAATTTGATTGCGATAATTTTTTACAAAGTAAAAGAAGCAAAAATATTGAAGTAGTTCTTCCTGAATCAACTTTTACTGATCAATGTCAGGCAATGGCCAATGCTATTAAAAGAGTTCTTCCTGAATCTCAACATCGATTTGCTTGTGGCATATTGGTCAAAATGCAGCCAAGCATCTTTCTTATTATTTGAGAAAACCTGACTTCAAGGTGTTATTTAATAGATGTCTCTACAATTGTGGATCAGAGCAAGAGTTTGAAGAAGTGTGGACTCATTTACTTACAAAAGTTGATATTTCAAAATGCTCATGGTTGAAGAAATTATATGACTTACGAGCAAATTGGTGTCCAGCATTTAGTAAAAATTATTTTTCAGCTAGTATTTTATCAACACAAAGAAGTGAGAGTATGAATAATGTTTTCCGCAAAATCACTTGCAAGATAATGTCTCTTACTCAGTTTGTACTTCGTTATGAAAAAAGTTTGGAGCGTAGACGTTGGTCAGAATTGCAAAAGGACTTTGAGTGCAATCAATCTACGCCTCCTAGAGTAAAACAACTTACAGGTATGGCTGAACAAGTTGCACGAGTGTATACTCATGTTATTTTTGAAGAATTATATGAAGAATTGTTTGAATCTTTATCCGTGGCAATTGAAAAAATCAATGAAAGTGGTACTTTCTTTTGTTACAAGTTGGTTAAATCTGGTGATGACAAACAATATTTTGTGACATTTGAATCGGTGAATTGCTTGGTTGAGTGTAGTTGTAAAAAGTTTGAATTTGTTGGTCTCCTATGTCTATGCATTGAAAGTACTTAATTTTCACAATATTGTTCATATTCCTTCTCAATATATCTTGAAGAGGTGGACAAAAGATCCTAAATATAGTTTTAGTATAAGTGATAATGGCAAACAAGCTTATTGTAACACCCCGTATATATCCGGTAATGTTATCATAATATCGTATTAAGTTGCGCTTAATTAAAATGCGGAATTACTTTTTCTTTTCAATTATGATGCCATAAACATTACCAACTTGCTTAATAATCAATTAATAAAACATCGCCTGTATGTAATTGCAATAAAAACAGCTAACTGAAATACCTCATAACATAGATAATATAAGTGTGGCTCTAGTCACGGAACTACAACAATGCAGACCGGACCATCTAACAGTTTATACAACTCCAATCTAAAAGTACTAACAGAAAGTGTCATGGACAATCCTCATGCTCACTCAAATAAGGCAACATGCCCAACATCAGTCTCAACAACAACATATCATAAATAGCGGAAAACATAAACAGCATCCCAAATCCAGTCATGCTAACATAAAGCAGTAAAGCATAATCAGCTAAGCTCCGGCCTCCTGCCGCCTGAGGCATCAGTACCCATACTACCTGATCCTGAAATAAGCATTCCCCAAACGTGGGGTAAGATCTCTAATCTAGAAATCTCAGTAAGTCAGTGAGTCCTCAAGGATCTTCCACCCCAAGCTCACTTACATGTGCAATATAAGTTCAAAAGCAGTTTATCATTTATCATTTCTAAAACAATGCAATGCAGCAGATAATCATGCCATGTGTGTCAATACTAATCTACTGGCCAGAGACAGTGCAGGTATATGTCTATCACCTACACACCGTGCAAGTACCACTTGCATTCACCCCGGTACACCGTCTTGTATGGCGCTACATACTCAGGCTTCCCGTCAAGATGAAACAACACATGCATATTAAAAGCCATTACATGTAAAGTTCAATCAACATATCAAATATTCAAAAGCATGTACACAACATGCATAAACCATACCCCCATGGGACATGGTGGAACCACAACATGGCTAAACCGAGGACACGAAAGCTTACCTTGCAAGCTAACTCCAAAAGCCAAGAGTCCATAGCTCAAAGTCCAAACACAGCAGATTCACAATCTGTTATGGACCAACAATACATCAACAACATGCACCACAAGCATACAATATTAAGACAACGCCTTTTCATTACGCTTTATGTCTTAAGGCTTCTCACCAAGCCATAAGCCCTTAATCACTTGATTCTGACTTAGTTCATTAATTACAGAAGTTCAACTTCATCAAACTAGGGTCCGTAAACCCCCAATAGCCTACTGTACACACAGCACAGCTACTGTTCAACGAAATCCCAAAATATCCGGATATTCCTCGGGACCATATCCGGATATGCAATATCCGGATATCTCACTGGACATATCCGGATATGCAATATCCGGATATTCAGAATCCCATATCTGGATATATATTATCCGGATACCAAAACCCATATCCGGATATCACATATTCAGATATTCATCGGGCACATATCCGGATATTTCACGACAGAATGCAGAAAATGCATTTCGTGAAGATATCCTTCTAAGGTTGGGTTTTTACCGATTTTAAACACCTAATCATGCATTTCTAGGTGCGTTCAACATTACCCAACAACAAGTTATCATCTTTTAGTCATTAGATGCATCAAGCTTTCATTTTTAAGTTCAAAGACTCAAGACCAAAGGTGACAAGGCTTACCAAAACTCAATCAGCCAACAAGAGGTGCTCTTGGGGCTCAAAAGGTCACTCCAAGGTTCTGTCTTTCACAGAACACGAAAATACACACCAAGGAGGGTCCTTTCTTCACAAAGGTTGCTCCTTGGAGCTCCAACAACTCAAGGAAGAAGCTCACACAGTCCCACAAGACAGTCCAGACTCCAAACAGCCTCCACACAGCCCCCACACTCAGGAAAAGAGCTCCTTTCACATTCACAATGATCTCTCCCACTCACCCAAGGTACAAAGTGAAGAGAAAAGGAGGAAGAGAGGTCACAAAGCTCACAAAATGGTGGTAAGGCAATGTAACAGTGGAACCAGCAGCTGACCAGCCCCTCACCCACGTAGAGAAACTGTTTTCTAGGGTTTTGTGCCCTTAGAAATGGGTATTTATAGCCCAAGCCACTTAAACACACAATATTAACTTTAATTGCTACGCTTAGCATTTTAATCCCAAACTATGGATTATGAAACTACATAATTTTCTTATAATTTTCTGAGCACCTTTCCGGTACGCGCTTTTCCAAGCCAGTACCGGTTTCTAGCACCAGTTCTCATTATCTGGACTTGAAACTCGTTTTACAAGTCCTACATATTATTCTAGTAATTAACATGCACTTATTACAATTTTCCGGGATACTTTTTCGGTACGCATTTATACCGACTAGCAGAACCGGTATCTGCACTTTTCTTCCGAAAAACGACTTTCAGCATTATTACTCACTTACTATAATTATTAAAGCCTCATAATAATTATTAGAGTCAATTATGGAATCATTTTCTATTTTTGCATAATTAATTAATTAAATACCTTAATTAACGGTGCGGGTTCTTACATTCACCCCACTTTTTTAGGATTTTGACCTCAAAATCAGAAACATACCTGGTCGAAACTTGGGGTACTGCCGGAGAAGCTCGTCCTCACGCTCCCACGTACACTCCTCAGGAGTCCTTCCGGTCCACTGCACCTTGACCATCGGAATGATCTTGCTCCTCAGCTGCTTCTCGCCACGATCGAGAATCTTTAGTGGTCCTACGGGAGTCTTTAAGTTCTCCCGAACTTCCACATCATCCGGTTGCACCACGTGCGACGGATCTGCTATGTACCTCCGAAGCTGAGATACGTGAAACACGTCGTGGATGTTGGCCAGGTTCGGAGGCAAGGCAAGCCGGTAGGCAACAGGTCTTACTCTACCAAGAATCTGGTATGGCCCAATAAACCGCGGGCTCAGCTTCCTCACTCCGAGTGCCCATCCAACACCGGTGACAGGTGAAAGTCTCACAAACACGTGCTCACCCTTACTGAACTCCAGTGGTCGATGCTTGACATCGTAGTAGCTCTTCTGACGATTCTGCGCCTGCTTCAGCTTTTCCCTGATCATCTGGATCTGCAAGGTGGTATCTTGGACAAAGTCCAAGCCAAATAACTCACGATCCCCAACCTCCGACCAGCAGGTAGGTGTACGACACCTCCTACCGTAGAGCGCCTCGTAGGGTGCCATGCCCAGGCTAGCATGAAAACTGTTGTTATAAGAAAACTCTACCAATGGAAGGTACTTATCCCATGCCGAGCCTTGCTCCAACGTGCAAGCCCGCAACATGTCCTCCAAGTTCTGGATAGTCCGCTCAGTCTGTCCATCAGTCTGAGGGTGATAGGCGGTACTCAATCTCAACTGCGTACCAAAAGCTCCCTGCAGCGCCTCCCAGAACCGAGATGTGAACTTCGGGTCCCTATCATTGATGATACTCACGGGCACCCCGTGAAGCCTCACAATCTCGCGAACATACAGTCTGGCCAACTGCTCTGTTGTGAAGCTCACCTTCACTGGACGAAAATGGGCAGACTTCGTCAGTCTGTCCACAATGACCCATATCGAGTCACAGCCAACCTGAGTCTTCGGCAGGCCCACAACGAAGTCCATGGAAATGCTCTCCCATTTCCACTCCGGAATCTCAAGAGGTTGAAGTTTACCAGACGGCTTCTGGTGTTCAATCTTCACTTTCTGGCAAACTAAACACTTGGACACAAAGATAGCAACATCTTTCTTCATGCCCGGCCACTAGAAGTTCTTCTTCAAATCTTGATACATCTTAGCAGCACCAGGGTGGATAGAAAACTGACCCTTATGGCCTTCTGCCATAACCTCTTCTGTCAACGGACCTCTAGGAACCACAATCCTCCGCTGGAACAAAAGCAATCCATCATCATTCCAAGACACACCGTCTTGGTTTTTCACATAATCCAGACACTCTCTCTGAACTTGTGCCTCTTTAATCTTTTCTAGCAGCTCGTTCACAACATCTGATGCTTCCAACCCGAGAAGTACGCTCGCACACGGAGCGGTCACTGCCAAGTGGCGGAACTTCTCAACCACATCGAAGTTACCAAGTAGCAAACTGGATGAACTACTGGATTTCCGACTCAAAGCATCAGCT